TTTTCCCAAATGATATCTCCGCAGATAGTTAATGGTTTAATCTTTCCTTCTTTGTAACTTGTGGGTGGTCCAGCTGACATTTTTCTCAGTCAGTGCATGACCTAATTAATATTATCTCTTAGCATTCTGTTTTGTAGGCCACTTGACCAATTTGAAATTTTCATTATTGCCATGGGCAGACGGCTATCTTTTATTCGCTCCATTGTAACATAAATCAAATTAAATCCGACAGATCCGAGATCTTACTTTCTTCGCTCTTTACCACTTTTCTTTGTTAGAAAAAATAACATTGCTCAGTGTCTTTTCGTGATAGCTTCTTATCACCTAAATTAATTCTCGCCGGTTTTTTTTTGGTTTTTTTTTCACGCAACCCTAAATAGTGTCATATGCGGAATACATGCCCTTTTGTTTGGTAAGTAATTTTCTTTTTCACCACATTTTCTGTCGTAGAATACACGCGACGCGCTGTCGCTTGGTTTGACGAGGTAAGTCGCCGTTTTCTTCACTATAAGTTGTGACTTAACAGTCTCTTCTATCACACTTTTTGCTTGTGGAACTCTCTTTCAGCTGCTTGCTTTTCAGTCAACTTTGATCTTCAAAAATTTAAATGCAATGTCAATTGTTATCTTCTGTCTTCTTAATTCTTGTTCTTTTATTGTTCTCTCTCCTTAATAGTATTTTTTCTTATATTTTCTAACACTCAGTAACCTTTTCCATCTTAGTGGTTTTATTGCCTTGCTAAGGGTGAAATGATTGAAAAAAACTGTTTATGTATTACTTTCAGGAGTATACTTATTATTGGTTGTTTATTCAATCCACATGAGAATTTTGTTTTTGTTCTGTCCTCCATTCCAGTTAACATCTTGAATCAGTTAATTATTCCTTGGTCATTTGGCCTTGTGAAATCTCTTTTGAGTATTAGGCCTGATGTTCTTTCTTAAAAGGTCCCATTCATCTCTATGCTATGAATGTGTTAGTAGAGCCAAGCATGTGCACCATATCCTACTGTTGCTCTCTACTATTCTAACTTAATTCCACAAGGGTTGATCACTCTTTTCCACACAGCCATGCATAATTTCATCAACTCCTCATAGATTACAGCTGTCTGATGTTCTTCCAGACTCACTTTTCTAGGGTACTTTGTCTCACCTTTGTATTGGAGTGGAAGAACCACAATTCATGACTGTTTGCTTTTGAAGAAGATGTCTCTGAAGAATGGAATATTGTCCTGATGTTGTATGGACAACAGATCTTCAGAATCATTTTTGACATGCCTCTAACATGGCAGCTTTCTGGTTATTTAACTTTACATGGAGACTTTACAGGACAAATATTACTCTGAAGGAAGTTTCTAATACCAATCATGTATTGTGGTTTGTCTCTAGGTTACTACTTATGAGATCAGCTTGATGTTGGAGGTAGTATGTCAATAGATGGTTGGAGGTATTATGTGATCCCTTACTGAAGAAGTAGTGGGAATCCATGTTCTGATATTATCTGGTAAAAGTTGACTTATGATATACTTGAACTTATACTCCCTGTGAGTTATTACTTCATCCAGGATGCCTCCTTTTCTGTTGTGAGCTATAATGAAGCTTTTATTGAGTTTACATGGTCTAGCATTAATTGCACATCTTCCTAGTGAGAATACATTATGAAGCTATCATCTATGTACCTCATACTTGTAGTTGGCTTTGATAATGTTCTTAAAGCCATTTCCTCAAATATGTATATGTTTACCATTACTGGCATTGTGAACTCATAGCTAAGCTTTATTTCCAACAAAATATGCCAGAACCCAATTGGAAGCATGTGGTTGGTACACAGATTCAAGCTATCTGCTGCCATGGACAATTAAATGAGAATAATCTACCCTCATAGACTTAATTTGGGATGGTTACCAACTACAACAGACACCTGAAAAAGGTCAGAGAATGTATTGTTAATACAGAGTATCAAGCCAGAGTGTCTCTCTGTGGGCAAGAGGAGAAACTTGGAAGAAGAGGAAAGTCAATATGGAGTGGTGGTGACATTGACAAATTCCTGTTTGTTGTGACTGCCTACAGTGTTGTGAGTGGCATACTTCAAAGCAGATGGGGTGGATCATGACTCATATTTTTTGTCATGCCTTTTGCTTTAGCAGCAACATTCATAATTGGCTCATTTTATATTGTATTTTAGATTTTTTGGAGAGGATTTCTTTTGTAATGGTCAGCAGAGGGCAACTTTGGTATTTTTGATTTCGCTTTCTAGGGTGAATCAGAAAGAGATCTAATTCGAAGCAGAGTATAACAGCTCCCCCAATCTCAATCTGATACATGGGTATTGAGTGGACATAAGCGAAAAGGATGTTTCTGTTTATGTTGATTTGGTGTGTTTTTACTGTTGATATTAGTGCATGATGAAGTCTTTGAAGTGTGTTGGGATGTTGTCCAGATGTTTGTCTTTTTGGAATTTGTTTTACCCTAGTTTTGGATAGTGTTTAAGTGGTTTCACCAGATATGGAGTCTTTATTTGCTCCACAGACAGAAGTGGAGATGTTGACTTCAATGCTGGTTGAGAATTCTGCAAATGCATAGAAGGGAGAAAATTTGTATATTACAGATGATTTCTTCATGGTACAAAGCAACAGACATGAATGCAATGGACCCAGTCAGTTTTCACTATTTTCATTTCTCTTCTGTTTTGCACAGGATGTTCAGGAATCGGTGTAAAACTTTGTCACAGTTTTTTAACTCCCACCAGTAACTGGAAAGATGTTTGCAAATATGAGTGAGACTAACATGGTTTGTGCAGTCATGAGCTTGATAGCAATATCTGGCATGGAGTTTGTAAGGTACAAATTTGGACATGTTTTAACCATCCCTGATCATCAAAACGAAGGTGATAGGTTCCAAACAAAATTGGTGAAAGTGCTTTTTGGAAGATTGTAGCACAGTGGTCACTGTGGTAGCTTCAGGTGCCTCATTTGAATCAACCATTTGGATGTCCATGATGATTTTTGATAGCGTCTCATCGATTCAGCTGGAATGTTGAGATAATCATCTCAGTGGGGATGCTTGAGGTGGCAAGGTAGACAAAGAAGGTTTCAGCACGAATTGTGGGAATGATCCTGGCTGTTTCATTTTCTACTTCTCGTGCTTGTATCTGTGGTTGCAATGTGCAACTGCATGCAGTGTGGTTGGAGATATGGCCAATTGTAACACCATGTAATTCCTGCAGGTAATGGAGCTGCAATTTTGAATGGTGTGTCTGTGTATCTGATTGGATGTTATTGGGTCATGTGTGTTTGGGTCTGAAGTAGCTGCTGCTTTATGTCAGCCAGCACTTGGTCAGGCTCATTGAGGTAACAGTTTGGTTTGTCCATCTGCTGCATTTTATGTGCATACATTATGGTGGGATCAAGGGTATTTGTGGTATCAGTTCTAAGGTTCTGGTTTAAGTAGTGTTGTTTGTCAATTGTTATACTAATCACTAAGTAGTGGTCGTCCATAGACTTTATGAGGTGATGGTAAATGGTGGGTGTCCAAGTTTGGATTTTATTTTTAGTTACAGTGTCAGCAGTTATTTCTGAATTTCTGTTGTCTGTCTTGAACTTAACTTTAATATGGACAACAGCTTCTCAAATGGTGTTTTCAAGTCAGCCTCCAAAGTATGTCAATTTATCACCATCTCATTTTTGGAGGTCCCATGCTCAGCTGAGGTGTTGAAAATTTGTCGTTTGGCTGCTAAGTTAAAACTTTAAGTGTTCATAGGTAAAAGTGTCCTGTTGTGAGTCTTCCATTTTTTGGAGTATGCTTTCATTAAGGAGTTGTTTGGAAGTTTTGACAAATCCATTCCTCATTTGAGGATAGTTCATAAATTCTGGTTTGATTTGGACTTTGTTCAAATCCATAATGAAGCAGTTGACATTACTGGTCAGTTCAAATTTTCAGATATCTCACATTGCATCATGTAGTAATTGCTGCTTCATTAGTAGCCTGTGAAGTTGTGGACTATGTCTGTGATTCTAGTAGCAACGGATTTTAAGGTGGTTAACATTTTTGATAGATCTGATTGAAGTTTGTCAATGATTGCTTTTGTTTGATGTTCATCAGTGTGTGTAAAGTCGGTTTTGAGATTCAAGATTGCTATCTACTGTTACTTGATGAGATTGAGAATTTCTGAGCAGGTGAGGCCAATGTAATTCATTTCATTAGTTTTTCTACTACATGATGACACCAGTTATGAGTGGCATGAGAGAAAAAAAATAAAGCAAATACTACTGGTTAGGCAAGAAACAAAACAAGACAAGAATTACGATAAAATTCTTTGAACTGCTTATGTAGTGAATCAAGGCAAAATGTCTCTTTGTGGATGAAGGAAGCAACTTGGAGGAAAGGAAAAGTCAGTTAGGCCTAGAATTAATGCATGTGTTGGGTTGGTTGACCAAGGTCACTGGTGGTGATGTTGACAGCTTCGTCATTCTCCTTGACTGCCTTACAATGTCATGGGCAGTGTTCTTAAAAGCAAATGTGGTGAATTATGACTTCTTTTTTTGTCATGTTTTTATTTTAGTGGCAGTGTTTGTGATTTGCTATTTCTATATTGTATTTTAGATTTCTTTTGAGGGAGTATGTTTTGTGAGATAGATGTGATGCTTGGAGCTCCTGAACAGAAAGAGACTTTTATTTTTAGTTTTGCTTTTTTAGCATTCACATCCTGCTGACAGGTTTTGATATAGAGTGAATCAGAAAGAGATCTAGTTTGAATCAGAGTATAACAATGCTATTTATTTGTAATTCAGAAGCAGTTTTATAAAATGTATTCTTCATTGAAAACCAGTGAACTCTGTCTAATTGGTACTCTATAAAGCCTTGTATATATGGTTGAGTGAATATCAATAAATTTTCATTAAAAAGGCCAGCAAAACATGTACATATACAAATGCATATTTTAAATATAAATCATACAAATTTATTATAAATTTCTAATAATTTAAAACTTTACTTTGTTTTTAGTTTCCAGGAGGTTTTCATGGTTACACAAAACTAACCCGTGCACGGAACGATGTTAGTATGGTATATCGGCATTTGGCTAAACCTTTACCCCCTGCAAAATTTATGTGGAGATCTGAGGTAGGTGTAGTCTTTCTCACAAAGACATTTAAAAAAAATTAGATGTTCACATGCTTTTTTTATGAGTATGCAGTAAAAGTCACTTTTGCATAAGTTTGATATTAGTATTCTAATGTTATCATTGCAAAAACTTATAAGAATTTTTTTTTTTCTTTTTATTAAACGTTTCATCCCAAGCAAGGTGGGAAGCCACTAGGACGCAAGGGGTTACAGAAAATTTGGAGCAAGATCAGATAGGAGTGATAGAAGAAAGGAGGAGGAGAAGGGTAGTGGATAGATCAAGGCAACTGGAGACGTCGATTGACATTACATTTGAATAGCTGGAGATTATAGCTCTCAGGGAAACTGGAATAGGGAAGGGAGTTTCACAGGTGAGAGGTGCAAGATATGAAGCTATTGGAGTAGAAGAGACGGCTACATTTAGGAGTTTCGACAGTGAAAGGATGAGAGCGGGATGCCAGCCTCGTAGGGCGCTTGAACTCATGAAGTCTGGGAACCAGCGAATGCAGCTCCTCAGAGCAATTGCCATGAAAGTATTTGTAAAACAGACAGAGAGAGGCAACGGCGCATTTGTGAGAAAGTGACTGTAGACGAGATGCCAGAGCAGGGCCAATTATATTGCATATCCACCTCTGGAGCTTATCAAGAACCCCGAGGCAAACAGAAGGGGCTCCAGACCATATATGGCAGCAATACTCCATGCAAGAGTGAATTGTTAATTTGTAGATCTGGAGGATTGATTCTGGGGAGAAAAATTTCCTTGCGTGGCACAGGGAGCCAACTTTCCTTGCAGTGGACGAAGCAATTGACTCAATGTATTTGTTCCATCTCAGGTCAGCAGTCAACGTGAGACCGAGCAGCCACAAAGAGGTGCTCTTGAGAAGTTGAGCATCAGACATTCTAATGGAGGGCAGGGAAGGATCTCTGTGGTGATTAATAGAGAGCAGTTTTGTTTTTGAAGCATTAAAGTTGACCAGCCAATTCCTGCCCCTGTTCACAACCGATTGGAGGTCCTTTTCAAGACGCACTGCCAGGTTAGTTTTGTCAGTGACACTAGATTTGTTTTTGAGGCAGGAATAAATTGTGGTGTCATCCGCGTAGATGCCAACTTGGGAATTTATGGCATCAGGAAGGTCATTTATATAGATAAGGAATAGAGTGGGGCCTAGGATGGAGCTTTGAGGAACACCTGCGTTCGTGGGATAGGAACTGGAGGAGAATCCGTTGAGAATGACCTTCAATTCCCGGTTTGACAGGAATGATTATATTAGGTCAAACAATCGACCCATAATGCCATAACCCTGGAGCTTGCGAAGAAGGCTGGCAAACCCTATCAAATGCTTTGGAGATATCTAAGGCCACGGCACGAGCTTCCCCGTTATTTTGAAGAGCTTGGTAGACAGTTTCATTGATGGCTGTAAGCACATCAGCTGTAGATCGGGCAAAGCGGAAGCCATATTGCTTGTCTGAGAGCAGATCATGGGATGTGAGGTGGTTAACCACCTTGGTATTAATTAGGGCTTTGAAGACTTTGCCGAAGAGGGGTAGGAGACTGATAGGACAGTAGTTAGAAGGGTCAGAGGGGTCGCCAGAGTTCTTGAAGACAGGAACAATCGAAGAGGACTTCCAGCAGTCAGGAAAACAAGATTCCTTGAGGCAGTAGTTGTATAGTTTAGAAAGGGCAGGTGCCAGTTCAGGTGCGCATTTCTTCAAGACAATGGCTGGTATCCTATCTCCACCACTAGCCTTGTTGGGGTCTAAATTGGAGATAATGCCCAATACCAAAGATGGGGTTATATGTAACCCATTCAATAGGGCCTCAGTTCTAAGAGGGAAGTTGGGTATAGGTACACCGGAAGAGTTGAGCGTTGAGTTGAATGAAAATTTCCAAGCAAAGCATTCAGCCTTGTCGGCAGAGGAGGTCAGGACCTCAAATTGGTTGAACAAAGGAGGTATAGAGGGTTTGCAATTGTTCAATACGCTCTTGCAGAGATGCCAATAATCTTTGGAGCCAAATTTGCGAGATGCAATACGCTCCTTCATCCGAGCAGCAAATAGTGACTTAGCATCATTGAGGATATGCTTACATGTGTTACGGGCGGAGGCAAAGAGATGTCTATTGCAGTCAGACATGTCGCTACGGAATAGGTGAAAGAAGTGGTTCCAGGGGGAGGAGCGCGACTTGACCCTATATTTCCTTGATGGGATGAAAGCGTCGATTCCAGCTTTAACCCAGGATGAGACCTTAGAAGCACATTCTTGGACGGGGAGCGTAAAGACACCATCCCAGGGGACATCGCGGAGGAAATCACGGAACGCGTCCCAGTCAGCTTGTTGATAGTAGAACAAAGTTCTAGTGGTAGGAGGTTCTTTGCAGGGGGTGGAGTTGAAGAAGATGTTAACAGATACCACCGCATGATCAGAGTTACCAAGAGGACAGAGTTGCAATATGCCACGGGACCGGGGATGGAGGTAAAACACAGATCGAGAAGAGAGGCTTTACCTTCCCGGTTGAAGGCAAAACGAGTGGGGAAGTTAACTATCTGTGTGAGGGATTGAGAGACTGAAAAATTGAGCATTTGAATGCCTGCGTGGTCAGTAGTAACATTCTTAAGCCACATGGTATGATGGGCGTTAAAGTCGCCAAACACAAATATGTGAGCAAACGGCTGGAGGGAGAGAGATGAGACAAAATCTGTAATACAGAAAATTATTGTTTATTCACTTTTAAATTTTGTCAGTTACTATTGGTGGGGCTTTGGGGATTTTTTTTGAACATGGATCTTCTTATGAGAATGTGAAAGATTGGCTTTTCCTTCTTGGGCTGGGTGCTTATATTAATTCCTGTAACCAGGTTATCCCATATCTTAAGCTTGGATGGGTCAACCACATGTTTACATGTTGGGGGGGGGGGCGACTGCTGACATCTCTTGAAACCTGATTCTGCATCTGCTGGTTAGATGACGAGATTATGAGTTATAAAAATTTTATTTCTTACCAAATCCAAGTTCTTGCACCAAACAAAACTTAGTAGAAATAGCAAGTCGCAATAATAGGTGCAAAATTACGAAAGAAGAGAAAAAAAGATACAATACAAGATTGCACAAAAATGTCCTTTTGTGCCCCTATTATGGCAGGGTAACAATTGTCCAAGGTTACAAAAAGGGGATTACTATCAGATATAAGGAAAAAAGTGTAACAGTTATTAGAAAAAGGATGGATTATGACAAAAAAGATTAGATCCTTTAAAAATGGGAAAAAAAAAGGAGAAAATGTTGAGGAATTATAAAAATTGCACAAGGCAGAAAATGCAAAATGCACCCACTTCAGTTCTTAACTGAATACTTAAACATGATGTCTCAGCTCAAAGGGATTCTGTATTTTCCTAGGTTTTCTTGAGGGCTTTTTGAAGTATTTTGCTGGAAAGTTAACTTTAATGTTCATTCAGGTTAAATTCTCAGGAACGCACAGAAAGGAATTTTCTGTTCTGGGGGTAAAATCTGCCTTGAATCTGTTTGGTCTTTCTTTTATTGTATTGATTAATGACACCATCAGCTGGACTGGTCCTCGTCTTTGTAGTGTGAGCACTAATGCTTCTTCCTCAACTGTCAATTGCTTTCTTATCAATGGTTCATTCTTTCTGTTCTGATCTGCTACATACCAGTCCTTTTATTGACCAAAAGAGAATCATACCAGCCCAAATAAAGTTTTCACAAGGGCTTGAAGAGATCATCTCTCATTGTCCAGTAAATAGAAACCTTCCCACTCCATGAATTCAAAAAATGAATCCACAAAAATCAAATTTTTTTTTATTAGCAATATCAACCGCTTGAGCTAAAAAGGCCATAAAAAATGCAACAATTTTTACACAGACTGTCTGGCCTTCATAAAATACTTCTCTCAAAAAACAACCTAGATGATCATACATATAGACAATTAATAACATTTTTAAAATAAAAAAAAATTAATTTTTATAGAGTCAGTCATCAGAGACGAAGAGTCAGAGATGTCCAGTAGAAAGCAAGGAGAAAGCAGTAGTAGAGACCATTATCCCCAAGAAAAACATAAAAACATGAGCTGGACTTCATCCCAGCCTAAATAATTAAACATTACACTATGAAAATGTCACAAGTTAGTTAAGCCAATTAATGACATCATTGCTTGTTAATTGTGCCACAATCAATAAGTTTAGATCATAGACTTTTGGTAATTATTTGATAATTTCCATTTCAGCAACCACCCACCAAACATTGCTTTTCTCATCATGACAATAGGCGAATCTTTTTATGTGATGCTCAATACTTAACTCAGGTAAGAACACACATCATTTTTAAAAAAAAATATGTATTGAATATATGTGGTGTTAGTAAATGATGTAAAATATGTATTTGCATTATTTCACCCTCTTTTCAAGTTGAATAACTACAAGTGATCACTTTTCTTGTTTATTCTTTCAGAATATTAGATTTTAAATATATATTTTGTAGCTTACAAATTATTTGCACTGGATCAAGTTGGATACATTTAATCCAAGTCATGAACTTTGATTAAGTTCATGACTAAATCAGTCTATTATAAAATTATAAAAATGCTCTTAAATTATTAAAAGTTCATGACGTAAAGAAAATTGCTGAAGAGAGTAACAAAACTATCTACTATCTCTGATTAAAAATAGACATTGAGTGAATTCATGAATACTTCAAATAGAGAAGCGAGTTTGAATTTTATCTGTATGAAACATCTATTTTTAATGTATAAAATTAAAACTTTTAATTCACAAATCATTTCTTTTTAAATATAGTAAATAGATTATAAATTAATTTTGAAAAATATATACTGTATATTTCCACATATAAGGTAACCTTTAGATCAGACAAGGTCAAAAAATATAACAAATTTTCACGAACATTGTGCATAAATAGTTTTATAAAAATAGTGAATGTGAATTTGTGATAAAACCAAATCTAATCAAAATGTTTGTCCATTCAAAGTTATCATTTTAATAGCATTTTGTAATGTCTACTTGAATCCTACTTATCCAATATAGGCTATCTGATACTGATTAAAATATAAAGGCACTAATCTTGAGATCTTTCCTGTAAAATGTATGTCTATATGTAGATGCATATTTGAGTATGTTGGTTGTTTTACACATGCAAATTTCTTTTATCTTTGGTTGAAAGTAAGATTAGATTTAGCATTGTAATTTCTACAGAACACATTGGATCAATCAGTAAATGGTCAAACTAATCTATTCACTGTCCACACTGATTTTATTAAGCAAGTTGGCATTTTCATAAAAAAATGGATAAGTCTGATGACGGTTATAGAATCTCAAGAAGTCAACACTAACATGTAAAATAACAATTTATTCAAGCATATGGGATAGCATGTTAATGAAATGTATGTTTCAATGGCTTATATCTTTTAGATTTATTTATAAATAAAAATTTATATTGCACTTTGTATAAGTGTGTGTGTGTTTCATTGAATAATATAGACATATTGTGTCTATTCATTTTTATACTGATCTTTTCCAGTTCTCTAATCTGTTTCTTGATGTTAAGATGAAATTCATGAAGGCAAGTGCTCTATATCAAAATTCTCAAGGCTCTCTATATCAAAATCAACCAACCAACACTCAACAAAATTTATTACAAGTGTAGCAGCAATGTACTGAAATGCATATAACAAACATTTAATGCCATTTTGCATTTCTACCAATTTCCTGTTAGCTTCCTTATATTGAAACACTTGTTTCACCAAAAGTTCATAATGACAACAGATAAATTAAAAATTTTAGAATAACTATAACAGTGCGCTCACACGTTTTTTTTTTTTTTAAATCACCATCACAATGGAATGCAGATTTTGTTGCAGTTACAATAAGTTTGTCTTTTTAATCCAACTTTGAAGATGATTTTGGAAATGATCGCAAGTACTTGGGTTAGAAAAAACCAAGATGTCTTCTTTGATGAATTTCATCTTAACATCAAGAAACTGATTAGAGAAATGGAAAGGATCAGTATAAAAATAAATAGACACAATATGTCTATATTATTCAATGAAACATGTTTGAACGGAGATATGCTGCCTAAATATACATATTTGAATAATCTAGAATTATTATGTCTATTTTATTTTTAATGTTTTCAAGTTCACAGATTTCGTAATGTTGCCATTAAACATGTTAAGGAAGGCACCATAGTTTTTCTCATTCCTTTTATTTTCCCAAGTACTTTTAATCTCATCCAAAATCATCTTCAGGGGTGAATTGCTAAGACAAAAACTAACATAATAGATGCATTTCATGTGCATTTACAAAAAAAATTTTTGTAAATTTTAATGCACTCTGTTGATTTAAAAATGAATGTTATTCTTGTAACCTAGGGAAGGTTATTGAATGGAATAATCACACGAAGGTTGGTAATGAACGATAATACTTAGGACACAAACAACGCACATGAGATTCGCTAGTGGCACGTAGAAGAAGTAGTAAACTGCTAGAAGTGGGTCAAGTGAATTCCACAATGAATCTCCAACTTCAGATCAACATACAGTATTTACTACTATATTTATGTGAATGGGAACATACCCATTATCATCTGTAGGTATCCTACAGTTATCAAGGAAGGTCATTTATATTTGTAAATAGACATAATATATCTAGACTATTCAATTAAACATGCTTGAATGAAGATATGCTGCTTATATATATATATATATATATATATATATATATATATACTAAATATGTAGTAGGCAAGAACAACTCCAGGCCAATCATGGATACTTAAAAAAGTGCTCAATGCACCATTCAGAATGAAATATGTTGAGCAGGTTAATATAAAAAGAATAAAATGTTTACCTTATTCAATATCCTGGTTTCAACTGCAAGATATCATCATCAGGTGGTGAGGCAAATTACATTATCCATTGCCCCGAAATCTGTTATAACAACTGAAGTTCATTGAAGGGAAGGCAAAATAGAGAAAAGAAATCACTTCTCTATTCCCTTCTTGTCCCCCTCCCTTCTCATTTTCTCTTAATTTTTTCTTCTTTCCACTCCCCATTGTTAATATTGATCAGGGTTCATAAAGGCCTAGAATGTATTTAGTAATATGCCTACATTTAAACATTATTTAGGATCATTCCATTTAATAATTTTTTACAATCTGGATAAGTAACAATAGCCAACTTCTCTTCTTGGCACAATTTACAATGGTTGTCGCTAGTTCTGTCTGACTTGAACTTTCTTAATATGTTCCACTTTATGTTTGGACTTCTATTATTTTTTTCCCTCAACTCCCACAAATGGTTGGCGAGTTTAGTGCAATACCTATGGCTCTGTTGTCTAAATGAAAATCTGTGGTTATACCAGTGTTTTTTGAAAGTACCTTGAGTGCATCCCATGTAAATTCTGTTTGGTCCACTCTCATCTTTGACCTCAGCCCTTAATTTTGTCCCTGCAGCTGGTTTTTACTGTTTTATATGTCTGCTCTTAAATTCCTCACATTTTGCCTCTTTCTAAATTGCCAGTACAACTATAACTTAATTTCACAGTATTGCTGTTGAAAATTCTGTGCAATTAAAAAGGTTTTGGGGAGTATTTTTTGGTCAGATTAAAGAAAATTCTTCCTATATTTGTTTTCACCTGTAGATTGAATGGGGGTGGGGTGGGGGTTGAACTAAATTATGTTCCTTTTTTCTTTTTCTTTTTCTTATTCCTGTTATTTCCCAGTTGTTGATTTGTTTGGGGGTTAAAAGTTAGATTTATTTTATATCCCTCCCCCTTCAATGTAGTTACATATACTTTTTTCTTTTCATCAAATATTTCTTTTCATGAGGAATTTCTTGACAGTCCACATTCAATTTCCTTTGGAATGTGTTTATACTTGCTGGGTGATTAGATTTAAAGTTTATATATTAGGTTTCATATATGGGGAAACTGTTCCTGTCAAAAGATTGAACTCAACATCTAAATATTGAACAATTTTCACATTCATCTCAACTGAAAGTTCAAATCTTTGAAGTGCTTAAAAAGCTTTTTTCTAATGACATTGTTGACTCTCTTATTATCAGGCATGATGATCAACCCATCATCTCTATATAGACCATGGTTATTTATACAAACAATTTTCTTAATTTTGCTCAATATGAAGACACTCATCAGCTCTGAAACTTCAGCTCCATCAAATGATCCTGGTGTTACATCAAAGGCACCTTTATTCAACTTTTTGATCCATGCTTTTCCATTGTGAATCAAAACAGATTTTCCCCAATGTAATATTATTTCAATCTGCTCTGATAAAATATCTACAAAGCCTTTGGTATAATATAATGCTTCCAGTAATCAATGGATAGAAGTCTTTTATATCATACTTGATGAATACTTGTGTGTCATTATTCGCAATGTTATTAAACCAGGAGATACTTTCCTTTGTCTCCTGCCAAATGTAGTCACTCTCAGCAAGTCACATTTTTTTTGTATAATTTTCAGGCTTATCATACCCAACTCAGTTTTTATTGGATTTTTTAGGTGGAATGAAGGGCAGTTATAAAAATTTTCTTTGTGATCCTGAGTTGTTAGGAAAACTTGATTTTCATACAATGTTTGAACCCTTTCACTAACACCCAGCCTGGCTGTGATATCCTTAGCTTCCTTATTGATATTTTCAATGTAAGAAGGTGGCATTTTTCTGTAAAATTTAGTTACTTCCTTAGAAATCTTTTTTTTGTAAGTTTTTGAGCTCATTGTATATATCTTATTTGTTTTGTTGCCCTTATGTAAATTTGTTTCGTTTTTTTTGATTTCCTTTACTTCCGCAGTTTTTTTTGAAAAGTACTTTTATACTTCTTCAAACTTATTCTATCTACTATGCCAATTAATTTTTTTCAAAACCAGCTAGCTCTTCAACTGCAGTGGGGGGGATTTCCTGATTTTTGATTTTTGATATTTCAGTATTCCACAAAGCAAATAAAGCTCTCCAGCTCATCCTGGCAATGAAGGTTTCTATTTTGTTCAATAAACTCGGCATATAATCGTGCCTGTTGGATATTGGAATATTTTTCAATGAATGCTGGATTTTGAATTCTTGCATAGTTGTTCATAACAGTACGTATATTCATGAAGATCTTCACCAAAAGGTGTGGAACTCCAATTCGTGGCTGATATCAGATTTATCAGTAAACAAAGCACGATAAAACATATTCTGTAAGAATGGCAGGAACTAAACAATTTTTTTCTAAACAAAGTTTGTTTTTCATAAGATATTTAAATCACACTTTTTAATACATGGTTTATATAGAACCAAGCATTATTTATATTGCTATTATTATAAAAAGTTTCTTTTTATATAAAATGTTATTTTTGAAAATAAGTCTTTTGTTACTCCTAAAAAACAAAGTAATGTCTACACGACAAAGCCAAATCTTATTGCTTAATTGACAAAAAAGAACAAAATTTGATTGTTGCTAACATCTGATTGTTAGTATCTTTTATGTTAATCTTTTTCTCTCTCTGGACAATTGCTGCTTCCAAGCTGAGCTATGCAACAACTTTTGAAATCAATTGTAATGTTTAATCTGTTTATTGTAATTAATTCTTTTACTATTAAAAAACTACTGAAATACTATTTCTTAATTTTAACAGGGTTTGGGAAAGAAAAAGCTGACTGGTCCCAAAACTCATTCTCCAGAGAACCTGGTGGCATGGATGCCCGATGAGGAATACCTGAAGCGAACAGGGACTTTCAGGTCAACATATCAACGAACATTTCGACAAGCATCTCCAAAAGGCAAGTTCACACCTAAATTTTTGCAGCGGAATATTCCAACAACCCCTTTCTATGATACTAACACATCAGTAACAACTTACCAATTGGATCACAGTGGAGCAAGTTCTTACAATCAAATTCTGAAACCACACATGTTCAATACTTGTATGAAGATGAGACAGTGTTTACAAATTGCACGTCCTCTGACAGCACCACCTACTTTCAAAGAAAGTGTTGCCTCTTGTTTGCAGTGGTCTGTTCCATCTCCACCTCCATCATGGTCTCAGCAGAAGGAAACTTGTAACAATTTAAGTCTTCCCTTAAACATAAGTAGCCATTAATAAAAGATACAAAACAAATTCAATCTTCTCTCTCTCTCTCTCTCTCTCTCTCCTTTCTTTTTTTGGTCAAAATAAAAGAAAATGTGCCAAAATGTGGTTAATGCTATCTGGTATCGATGTAATTTATAATAAACTCCAAAAAGAAATATAATAACTATGCTTCTGTTGCTTTTCATCATCATCCAAATTAATCAACATTAATTTTAATGTTGAGTGATAAAAATAATAGGACTGAGTCAAGAGAAAATATGTCCCAGGTTACTGGCAACTGTCAGGGAGCTTCTAGTGAAATTGAAAGGGAAGCCATTAAATATTATTATACTACATTATAGTAGTATATGCACCAATGTCACAAAGCACAAAAGCAGAAATAGATAAGTTTTACAACATACTAGATAATGCCAAAAGTCAATGCAAATAGCAGGAAATTATTATGGGCAACTTAAATGCAAATATAGTAAAGGAATAAGATAATGAAATAACAAGTATGGACTTTGATTGTACAATGAACATGGAGAAAAATGGGTTCATTGATGAATAGCAAATGACCAAATACTAAGCAACACCTGGTTTGAATAACAACCAGGAAATTTGTGGATATGGATAGGGAGGAGATATAAAGAACCAGATAGATCACTTAACAAGCAGTAAACAATTTAGGAATTTGATTCAACATGTTAAAACAAATCCAAAATCCAATTTGTACTTGTGAGCACATCCTAGTGCTATGTAAACTAAAAGAAAGGTTAAAAAATATCAATCCAAAGGAGGTCTTGAATAAAGTTACAAAATTATTTTTTTATAAAGTTTTTTGTTCATAAGATATTTAAATCAGACTTTCTAATACATGATTTACTTAGAACCAAGCATTATTTATATTGTTATTATTATAAAAAGTTTCTTTTTATATAAAATGTTATTTTTGAAAATAAGTCTTTTGTTACTCCTAAAAACAAAGTGAAGTTTACAAGGCAAAATCAAATCTTATTACTTAATTGACAAAAAGGAACATAATTTGATTGTTACTAAAATCTGATTGTTAGTATCTGTTATATTCTGTGCTAATAGGAATATATACTTGAAAAACATGGCAGATAAAATAAGTAAAGGTTTATTGTAAAAACCAGTACAATAAGAAATAAGGTAACAGCTATGCACAAAGTCATCACAAGTCAATCCAGTAGTGAGTGCTACTATTGGAAGGTTGGTAGTTCTTGCATAAGTCTGAGTCGTACTCAACAGATCCCTGCTAGACTTCGCAGTCCACTGACTTACAGATACTTATAGGCAGTTACTACCTATAGTGTAGTCACTCATGGGGGTGACTGGTTATTCCATTACATCAGTGTCTTTTATGTTAATTTATGCAAACTAAAGATAAAAATAGAGAAGTTAAAGAAACCTAAGGCAACTCATAAACTACAATACAACAATCTCCAGGATGACTCATTTTGTATACAAACATATGCTGATGTAATTATGGGCAATTATAAATCCTTGGAAGAGTCTGGTAATTCAAGTAGTGACATTAGTAAAAAAAAGAGATAAGAGAAAAAGAAGTGGATGATAGATGAACAATGAGCAAAAAGACAGTGAGTAATGTCAAGGAATTACATAGAATTTTTTTTTCTTTATGGTGCAGCAACTTGTATCCAAGGATGCCAGTCTACTAGGGCATCTAGCTAATCCCTGTTGCAGACACATTTATGTTTGTTCAGCACCCACAGAGCCCACCTGTGGTTTATACTGCAACTATGCTGAGCAGACCTTAGTTACAGTTTCTAGAAGTGTGCACATTCTCTAGCATGGTCAAGAATCTGAACAAAGTCAGCACACTCAAACGCTCAGTCACGAGACTTTGTGCTAGCACAACCATCGATGTCTCCCAAGAGTTCTTTCTACCTAATTTCACTCCCAAGGATTGGGTTAATCCATGGTTTAGATTGCAGGTCTCATAGTCAGAAATGTTTTGACCACATGCCCATACCAAATATAGGATATTAATCAGACAAATGCAATCAAACAATATAACTCAATGAGAAGTGTGCAGAGATAGTCACTATGGAACATAGAGAAGGCATGTATGAAAAAGACGAAAGAAATAGAACAGAAAACAAGTTCTTTGACAAGCTGCATAAAGTCTAGGATGAGAACATTTTATAATGGAAAAAATGGATGACAAAAATAGATTGAATACATAAGAGAGCTCTTCCATGCCAACAAATGAGTGAAGCCTACAATATATAAGAATATAAAAAGACTTGTAGTATTAAAATCTGAGTTAGCATGGGCCAATATGAACTGAAACAAAGATGTTCTATCAGCCAGGTGCAAATAAATGCAAGTTCCATTGGACAATCAGCTTAATGAGCCACATAATTAAACTTATCATTAGGGTTATAATGTATAGAGCTCATACCAGAATTAGACTGGAAACAGGACAAGACACTGGAATAAGAAATGCCAATTTTATGCTATCAAAATTAAGAATACAAATTCCAAAAGACCTATACCAATTATTCAACCAATTATTCATAAATGACACAAAAAGCATGTGATATGTCAGAATGACCTACTTGGAATACTAGAAAAGTTGTGTGTATATGTATATATATATATATATATATATATATATATATATATATATATATATATATATGGGAAAGATATTTGACTAATCTGCAATATTTACTGGGAGCAAACAGTCTGTATGCAGTTACAGAGAATGTTCAGGGAATACACTAAAATAGAAAGAGGATTAATCAAGGCTTTTCTTTCTCAGCAACTCTATTTAATTTATACTGCAAGATAAGAAAACTAGAATGATGGCAGATTCAGAAAGGAAACTAAAAGAACTTCTACACCACTTAAAAGAAAGCAAGAAGTAAGGCTAGATTGTAAGAAGAAAGAATGAATGAATGAATGAATGAGACAGTCTAAGGCAGTGTTTCTTAACATTTTTAAGCAACATCCTACCTAGTAGCAAATGAAAATATCATGGCACACGTAGCAAAATTTTTAAAGGTTATATATTTATATGTTATGAAATTTTAAAAATAAACATAGATTTAAAAAAAATACACACACAAATGGATTTTAAAAAATACACACAAATACTTACTTTATTTCAATGTTTTACTCAACTATTTGTGCAGCTTATTTAGTGTGAAACCTGTGTCTAGTGTTTTTTCATGATTTCTCTTCAATGTTCAGTTGAATGTGTGATAGGCAGACTCTCATTTCTTTTTCAGTTGAGTGTAGTTTTTCTTGCTTCTTATTTTTGATGTTATTTAGGGTTGAGAAGTCTAATTCATATAAATAAGAAGATTGCAATAAAACTGATAAATCTTTTTTAGCTAATGTAGATTATTCCTTTTGTATTGAAATCCAAAATGTATTAATGTGTACTGTTGAATTTTTTATTCTGAGCCCTTAAAAAACTAAAAATACTTTTTAAAAAATGATATTAAAACAAAGTATTTAAAATAACATAATAAAAGAATAGTAAAAAGTTTCTTACTTATTCATTTATTCAAATACTAATGCTGTACCATTACTACTTCCACGCACATATATATATATATATGTATGCCGTGACAATATTTCATGGCATGCTTAAGAAGATCGTGTGGCATGGTGGTTGAGAATCACTGGTCTATAGATATATGGAACCACCATAACCAATTATTTCAATAATTATTAACAATTCATAATTTAAGACAATGAACTAAAACAATACTAATTAAAAAAAATACAACTTTTCTCACTTTATTTTGCTGCTAAAAATAAAGTATTTAGAAAGCCAAAACAGTGGTTGAAAATTGCTGGTCTAAGGTGTGAGCAAAGTATTGGAGATCATCAAAATCAAGCAGGTACAGAAATTTAAATGATCTGGCAAGTGTAGTAACAGACTATGGAAATTAAGTAAAACATTAAGAGATAGGAAAATGTCTTTAGAAACAAAGAAAAGAGTGCCAAACTGGTATATATCTATGGCAGTGAATATTGGACAATTTCCTCACTGATGAGGAAGCAACTTGAAGCAAGAGAGATTTAGTTCATCTTCATTACTTATATGTTCTGTGTGACGTCGTCCCCCGGTCGCAGCGTCGACTGTGTCATTCGATCCCGTTCGCGGCGCCAATTGTGACGTGGACGTGGTCCAGGGTTCTGATCCTATGGTCACGACACCAGTTTGACGTCACGTGCTCTCCCAGACTCTGATATCCTGGTCACGGACAGCACCAGTTGTGACGTCTTTGCGGCGTCAGCTGTTCGCTCCCTCGCTGCTCCAAACGTGACGTTCTAACCCTTTGGTTAGATTGATACCAGCCTCGTCGTTCCCAACCTGCTTCCAACGCCTGGTTACCAGGGTAACTGCACTGATCTCTGGTCTGCCTACCCACGTTGTGACTTGATCTTAGACAGACGAGATCAAACAGGGCTTGGGGCCGTAATGCAAGTTGAGTCTAACGGGGGTGATAACACACAATTATGTATAATAAAAAAAAGGAATAAAATAAAAACTCAAAAGGTCCAACGTATCAAGAAAAAGGTAACAAACTTTTATGTCTATTTGCTCGGTACATAGGACTATGTCTACTTCCCGACCCGTTCTGTGGATTGTGGCACGACGCTTTTACTAGGCAACCTTAAGGCTTCAAGCTGTCTACTCTCTAAGAAATTTGTGTTTCGGTGTGTCTTTGGACGAAAGTCGAAAAAAAAACTTATTTCTGTGGTCTGATTCTAAGTCGCTCTTCAAACTACTTGTTCTTGGTTGAAGAAGAGTCCAGAAGTGTGCGTGAATCTTGGTTAGCTATCTTGATGCGGTTTTAACACTGGGCGCTGATCTCTGCTTGTCGTTCACGGCTGATCTCTCTCGCCGTCCGCGGCGCAAACTCTTTCTCTTCGGCTTTTGAATTAGTGGTCACTCTTCTCCGTCGTCAGTGCGCGAATTAACTTCTTCTCTTCAGCTTCGGTTGGACGAGCTTCTTCTCTTC